TAAAGCAGGTAACAACAGTAGCTGTAGTAAGGCTCATTATATAAATGGTATTTTAGAAGAACTTGGATTTAATTCTACAAGTGGTAATCCAACTTATACTCATAGTTCCCTTTCTAAGAAAGAAATTCTTCAAAATCATACGTCAGTTTTGAATATTTTTAATATTCCAAAGAACCAAAATGAATTGAACTACCATATATGTATTTGATTCCAAATCCTCATAAGAATCCTTACAAACAAAGATACATAGCGGGTTCCAGTAAATGTTCAACCAAGCCTATTTCTTTACTCCTCACTAAGATATTAGCAGTAGTGAAGGAGAAACTTCAAGAGTACTGTGCAACAATATATTCAAGAAGTGGTGTAAATCAGATGTGCATACTAAAAAATTCAAAGGAACTTTTGGACAATTTGAAATCACAAGATTTCACCAAAATCAACAGCTTAAAAACTTACGACTTTTCAACTTTATACACAGCCATTCCTCACGATAAATCAAATTCAAGACTTTTTTTTATATCACTGGCAGCTGATTTTTTCAATAAAAATGGAACTCGTTAATTTACTTACCTTGTCATTGGTCCTTTGCAATTTTTTTTTTTGTTAAAAATAATTTTGATTGAACACACAAGTACTCTGAAGTTGACATCAAAAAGAGGCTTGAGTTTCTGATTGACAATATCGAAGTCGTTTTTGGAGACCAGGTCTTCCAACAATCTATTGGAATTCCCATGGGTGCCAATTGCGCCCCGTTATTAGCAGACCTATTTTTGTATTTCTATGAAGTAGAATTTGTGCAAAATCTTATACTTGAAAAGAAAAAAACACTTGCTGTGGCCCTCAACTCGACATTTAGATATATCAACAACGTACTGTCAATTAACAATGGTAATTTCCATTCTTATGTCAATAGATATATCCCAGTGAGCTTGAGATAAAAGATACCACAGTGTCTGATACATCTGTTTCATATTTTGATATTTTACTTGAAAAAATCGTTGCTTTATTATAAACGTGATGGCTTTAACTTTTCTATCGTCAACTTCCCGTACCTATGCAGCAATATACCTTCATCACCTGCATACGTAGTTTTTATATCTCAGTTGATTCGATACGCAAGAGCATGCTCTACGTATGAACAATTTCCAAAACGAGGCAAATTATTGACAAACAAGTTGATGAAACAAGAATTTTAGCTGTCTCGTTTAAAGTCATTATTTCGTAAGTGCTGATGTTTCGGAGGTCCGTGTTTGCTCTGCCCCTGTTTTGTAATGTTTTATGGACCTTTGATCTTGAATACTGTTCGTTTTCTCCATATGTTTCATTGATGGTTTGTAAGTGTCATGTAGTTTAAAATAATAAAAGAAAGAGTTGACAAATTATGAGAGATTGCATGGTCAACATATGCATTTTTTCATACAAGAAATTATAAATTCCATATGAACTTCTTCAATATATCTTCATTTTTTGGCAATGTCTGCTATATGATTATGTTTCCCCCCTGAAATTACCTAATGAATACTATATTTAATATTTCTAGCACATTATTACGAACCAGAACTATATGAAGGGCGAAAGAGGTTCTGACGACAACGCAATGGACAAAAAAAAAATATCAGAAAACCTCTCTTAAACCTTTCGCTCAGGTGAGCTTAAAAGAAAAAAAAAGATTTCATGACAAATGAAGGAAAAAAAAAATTGAAATCAAACCATTTAGGAATGTTATTAAGTTTATCAGGTTACCCTGTCTTACGTGGTAATGAAATCATTGACAGATGACCAAGCTTTAGAAAAAATGTCATTTCAACCAAACGTGTCCTGTAAACTCGAGATCAAAAGGATTTTAATAACTGAAACTCTGCTTACCTGGAAAATATGATTTTTTAATCGAAAATGATTGATATTATGGTCGGTTGAATCAATTTCATCTTAGAAAAAAATCTAATAAATAATGGGCAGATGTCTGCAAAATCATTACATCAGAATATCCTTTCTTTGTCTAATGTTTAACAATATTATAAGCAAAACAATTGGTAATTGAAACAATAAAAATTAATTTGATTATGACATCTTGATCTTTTAAATTTTCTTTAATTTTTTAACTCCATATTTAAGAATGTCTTATAATAGAAACTCATTTTATTTCAATTTTATGCTTAATTATTAAGATCCTGATGATTGTTTTTGTTAAATAAAATCATAGGGGACCTTTATATTAACTTTTAGAAGTCAAAACCGCCTATTATGCATTTAGACCAAATGACTGTTAGTTTGGGCAAAAACTTCCATATCAAGCCACTCTTGAAAGTAGAGCGACGATGTCTTAAAATAGAATTTAATCTTTTTAACTTTACTTCATATTCCCTATAATTTGCTATGTAATCGTCAAAATAATCAATTTTCAGCTCCTCATCGTGACATTTGATCTGCAGAAAAAGGAAATAATCAGCAAAGCTTTAAATTTATTGGCATAATTTCACCGTCTGGTGGCTATAGATTACTTATATAATATAGGTATAGAATACAAATTGACGTACTATTAGAAATAAATCAAAACAAAGGCAACCCCTGCCACAGCTTCAAAGGACTCTTCTACTGCAGTTTAAGAGATACTGGATTCTAAAATATTTTATGCTGTAAAAATTCAGGGCGTGAAAATTATTTCTATGAAACATTTTGAACGACGTTTACATTTTCTACGAAAGGGGTAAATATGTAGAATCCTTAATTAAGTATCGTGTTAAAGTAAAACTGTCAATAGCCGTCATTATTTACCTTCAGGCGGAGCAGGTGTCATAGATTTCACGATGTATTCCAAAATAGTATGTAAATGCTGTACTTTGGTTTTAAATAAGACTCTGATTTAAATAAAAATATATTTTATGATTGAATTTCTTTTTTTAATAACCTGATCTTAGAACCGGTTTTGAAATTTTAAGGAAAAAAAACACTTAATCATATCTTTGGTTTGAAAGATTCTGTTTAATATTCTTTTTTTTTTTTTTTTTTTTTTTTTTTTGTAAAATTGCTCAAGCACAAATAACAGTTTTAATGAATTGTTTAAATTGATTTTATCTAAGGAAATCAAGCAAAGTTAAGGTAGAAATAAAATCATATTTTAATATATATTCAAAAGTATAACATCTTGGAATTCAGAATTTAACAACGTAATAACCAGCTTATATAAAAATACGTTGCAAATATAATTTTTAACTTACCTTTTCTTTAGAGTTGTCAGAACTAATTCATGGCAGAACTCATCTTAAAACAATATTACAAGTACAATTATAGGATGATAAAAAAGCTGTGGTTTTGGTTTTTTAGTGAATAAATACAATCTTTCGATATTACACTTCCTTACTGCAATTGCAAATCTTACACAATATTTATAAATTATGCACTTCCTTTTAGTAAATTTATAAATGCGTTTTCTTTGCAAAATTAACGAAGATAAGCTAAGGCAAGAAAAACATATTTTAGGTTAAAAACTCTCAAAGAACAAATATTGAAGTTATCAAGCATAGTTTAACTTTATACAACGCTTACTAATGGTCGAATATAAACAATAAAAGTAACAAATGACCATTTAAATTTCATTGTTATCAATCGAGACAATTTAAGCTAAATCATTTCTTATTTAAATTCAGATATAATTTTAATCGATCCTTGATTTCAAGTTCCTGGGAAAAATTCTTCAACGAGACATTATCGAGAGACTTCGACTCAACACGATATTTTACAAACAGTTTTATTTGAATTTTTATTTTTTTTTCTTTTGAAAAAAAAAATGAAATTTTCATTAAATTATATTTACTCCAAATATGTCTTCCTTACAATGAAAATGATAAAGAGAGTGAACAGTGATCGACTTGACAAAAATTACTCGATATCTCAGTAAAGAGTGATTTATAAAGGTACTAGAAATTGTAACATACAAAACACTTTTTATATACTCAGCAGTATATTATACGATTTTATAGAATGCATTTACTCTACACTGCTCAACACAATGTACACAATTGTTCTTTCTTTAAACCAAATAATCAATAAATTATTGTCATGTTTTTTTTTTGAAACATTTTATTTTTCTAATAAACAAGAAAGTCATTTTCTTGTAGGAATTAATTGATTTTGAACATTTAGACAAATCTTTGAGATATTTAAAGTAAATTTTAAAATATAATTCATAAAATTTAAAACCATATGCAGATAAAAATTAATGATAGTAAAGTTGATTACGAATAAGAGCATTCCAACGATTTCAAATTATATGGACATTGAAAATCAAAAAAAAAATTGTCAGTTTTTTATGCATTAATGTAAGATAAATTTTCAATAACAGTACAATTTCTATAAAGAGTTTATTTCGCATGATAATTCCTTTTTTTATATTAGAATCCATTACTTGTCAATCCGATATATAAAATGTTCAATTTGTTAAAAAAAAAACTTGTTTGTACCCACCTAATTTGTCTCTCTTTTCCACCCACCCAATCTGTCTCTTTTTTGATGATCTAGTTCGCCAAAGGAAGAACAAAAAAGAGTAAATTTTCAAGGTTAACTTTGAATTTTTTCTCATCAATACAGTTATTTACCGTGGATTCTTTGCCAACTCCATAGAATTCCCAAAACTTTTCACAGAATAAAACAAATCACTTCTTTATCCTGAAAAAGAAGCATAGATATTATATTTGTATTAGATAAACCGCCTTTCTTTATTTAATTTTATTCAAAAATGCAAACTAAAACAATTTTATAAAGGGAAAGTAAGAAGAAACTCCATTGCGTGTGGGTATTATTTTTTGCAACCGTTAATTTAAATTTGGCTTCAGAGAAACAGATGATAGATTTCAGTAGCCAATGAATCTGAAGTATCCACCCTCGCCCCGCCCCATTTACCTCTTACGGTCGATGAATTGTTCATTGAATATTACAATGATCTAGTGGGTTATTATAATTGACAACAACAGCGTTTGCCATATGCTTGGTTAAATTAAACCTGTCTCTTTATTGATTTCACTCTGAAGGAGTCATATAAATGTTCTCACTTTTGTCAATTGCCGTGACTTCTAAATAAGTGTAAGGTGTCGACCTACAATAACTGTGTCAGTATTCCTAGACTTTTAGGAATATCTTATCTGGAAATGAGTAATACTCTTTGGGAAGTAATATTTTAAAGAAGTAAAATGTTGGTAAGTACCATTGGCTTTTTAATTTTTATTTTGGCATTTCGTCTTTTCAATATTGATACAAAATATATAGTAATTAAATTGAATTCTTTTTTTTTTTGTTATTTTGTTTTTCTTTTTTAAGTTGAGATCATTTTAAATAAATTGGATTTTTTCTCACTAATAAATTAATATATTTCATATTTTTATTAATTTTTGTTAATATAAATAAAAATACTTAAATTTTTTTAAAAAAGTTTTGCGAATTTTAAAATCATTAATTAAGGAATAAACAAATTAATTTAAAAACTTTAAAAAAAAAGAAATAATAATTTTATTTCAAAAACAAAAAAGTAAATTAGTTAAACTTTAAAAGTTTTTATATTATAATTTTTCCAATTTTTGTATTTTCAAAAAAAGATATATTCCAAATATGTATACTTCTTATATATTTTTAATTAATTTGAATTTCTGCCCCTACAAGAAAAATATTGGTATTAGTATATTTTTCTTTTGATTTTCAGAACGATAATAGTAAATCTTTTGTTGAATCCTCACCCTTGATCACCGATGTTCCAAAAGATCTAACAACATCAAGTCCATTAGAATCAAGTAAACCATCCTCTTCAGAGAGACAGCCGACCTACGCCACGTCCGGATCGTATGTTGCAAGACCAAATCAGGTGTCGACTGTACTTCTACACGGAGTACCCATTGTTAGCCTGTACATTGACGGGAAAGAGAGGCTGTGTCTGGCCCAGATCTCTAACACTCTGCTGAAACAGTACAGCTACAACGAAATCCACAACAGAAGGGTCGCCCTCGGTATAACGTGTGTCCAATGTACACCGGTACAACTGGAAATATTGAGGCGGGCTGGTGCAATGCCAATTTCTTCCCGCCGTTGTGGAATGATCACCATGCGAGAGGCTGAGAGATTGGTCAAATCTTTCCTAGAAGAAAATCTCCCCCCGAAGCTCCCCGAAAACTTTTCTTTTCATGTAAAACATGAATGTGGATGGGGATGCGAGGGCTTCTTCGAACCTTCTCGTTATAATAGTTCCAGGGCAAAATGCATTAAATGCAAAATTTGCAATATGTATTTTTCTCCCAATAAATTTATATTTCATTTTCATCGCACACAAGAAGCAAAGTATAGCCATCCAGATGCAGCTAATTTCAATTCTTGGAGGAGGCATTTGAAGCTTTATAGTACGTCTGATGAAGGGATAGTCCATGCATGGGAAGATGTAAAGGCCATGTTTAATGGCGGCAGTAGGAAAAGAATTCTCTCTACCGAGTCTAGCCCAACGTACAATGCGCGCGGAGACGACCAACACAAAAAACCAAAGCTGTCGTCTGTTGACTTAGACATCCAAAAGGAAGTTTTTCAGTCCCCGTATCCACCCTTCAGCCTCCTACCCCAACAGAGGAAATCATTTCAATTTTCACCAGTTAACCAGTCGCCACCCACCACGTTTGCTCTGCCATTTGGTAAGGAATGTATGACTGATGTAAATAAGGCCTCCCCAATTCGCCCGCCGACGTGGCCTGGACTTCACGGCATGTTTCCTACCTACAACCTTTTATGGAACAACCCTTTTGTGCAGAGTTTTCGAAATGATTTTCGTGAGTCGATGATGACTTTCAAAGGTAACATAAGTAGAAGGAAAGAAGAAAATTACAACGACGATGAGTCGTCTTCGTCGGCCGGAAACAGTCCTCGTTACGATGACTCGAATGAAAGATTCTCAGCTTTCCGACTTGTTAATCAGAACACACGAAAAGATTCTGTAAACTCACCGAGAACTGATTCAAATGACTCGGAGGATGAAAGTGAAGAAATAAATATTACCGACTTCGTAAATGGCGAGTCTAATGAAGAAGAAAGGGATCTTCACAGCAAGCTCGAGGACAAGGTTAAAGAAGATACCCATGAAAAGAAAGTTTTGAACAAAATTATCACCGATGGAGAGGATCTCTCTAAGACGGATACAGAAATGGTAACAGTCCTAACAAGATAATGCATTATAATTGTTTCTCTTCTCAGAAAGTGTTTTATTGCTTATCATTTCAAATTAAATTATAATTTAACCTTATACGAATTTTGAAAAGCTAAATTTTATTGAAATGTTAGTGATCAACTATGCAGAAAACCAATTATATTTTAGCATAAATTAAGCATTTGAGTAGAGTGATAAAATGTTTCAAGTCACGCGGCGTCCTTTCTCATAAATTTTCAACGCATTATCACTGTTAAAGAAACTTTTATTTTTCATAAAAAAGAAAAAAGTGTAAATAATTCAGGTTCTTTAAAGCAACATCAAAAGCTGGGAAGGAAATTTTGCTCTCGCTTGTAATTCAGCCACATGCCGTCCTTAATACATAATGCACTAATTTTCTTCTTTGATTTAAGAACTGGCGCATTACAGATTTGTGCGCGTTTAAGACGGTCCGATATCAATGAACAGTCACATTTAATGACATTCACACAAAAAAATTTAGGATCCTATTTACAGAATGTCTTTTGATTGCCGTTCATGTAAAGCGTCGCGTGGCGGGTTATTGATGAATGTTTTAAGTCGTCTGCTCCTATTTTCTGTATTATAAAAGAAACAAATTTCAAAATTCGTGCTTCATTAGATATATAAAATATGGTACCTGTTTAGAGGTCTTAAAGATTTTCCTATTCTATGAAAAAAATCGGCACTTTTCTTCGTGTGTGGTATTTACATTTTGTGTATAATATTCTTTTGATTTCAGAAACGGGTGGACAACAATAAAGAAATCTCAAATGTTGGTATAATCAACGTTGATCCTAGTAAGTGTAACGTTTAATTTCATTTTAAAAAAATTAAAATAGCATAAAAATAATCAATATGTATAATAAATATAATAAAATATATAAAAGAAATAAATCACACATATATATTATTTTTAGTTCTGCCATCTTGTAATAGAGAATCGCCACCCCTGCCAGTGTCTGCGATGGAAATGACTAAAGGTGAGATATTTCATTTCATTCTTTTTAATTTTATATAATTTATTTCAGTTTGTTTGTTTCTATTGGACTTTTGCGAGAAGCGTTGACTTTTACAGTTGACTGCTTACTTTTACACTAAGACAATATACCGAAGCTCTTTTACGATATAAATATTTAGATCAACATTTAATTTAATTAACGAAAATAATGACCTATTTCAAAGCAAAAATAAGTCGTCCTCGAAGAAAACGAAACCCACCTTCCCAAATATATACTAACCCCCAAAATATACTAATAAAGCATGTTGTGAAAGTATCATACATTTATATACCAATTATTTTATCTACAGAGGAAATACAAAGAGAAGTACAAGCTGAAATGGAAATCAGGAAACAAATGGAAAAGGAAATCCAAGCCCTCAAAGGTACAGAAATGAATTTGTAGTTTTTGTTGAAGTTTTTAAATTACATATTTAATGCTTTTCTGAATTTCCATTTTTTCAGTAGTTTTTATACACTGAAAAGAATTCTAGAATTCATTTAAGTAGAATTTATTTTATTTTACAAAAGATGCTAATGATCATTGTTATTTTTTAAATAGAGGCTTTGACAAATGAACTGGAACAAGAAAGACAAGTTAGATTTTCCTTGCAACAAAAATTAAAAGGTAAGGTATTTTACACATCTAACTCTCCTTATCAATCAATCGATCAATCAATTGAAATTGCTTATATCTCAAATAAAATTTTAATTAAATTTAACAATTGGAATTGTTACCTGGCATTTCCTTTTTTAGAAGCCCATGATGCTCTGCATAATTTCTCTTGCAAAATGCTGGCATCCAGAAAATGTGACGAGTGTGAATTCAAGGACAATGACAATCCAGTAGAATCTAAGAAGGACTCTTAGATTTTCCTATCTTGTCGTCCCAGTGTACAATATCTGAAATCCTTAATCACTTTAATGTATATTAAATTGATTTATCAATAAATCGTCATATATCCACATTGACTTTATAGCATGTATGTATCTATATGCTGTGATCAAATAACTTCAGAGTAAATTCAGTCTGATATTTATAAATAGGACTCCTTTTTGTTAGTTTTTTTTTCAGAAAGTTAAGATAAAATATCAAATTAAATAGTTCATTGCTTTAAACTTGTTAATTCATCTTTTGCGAATCATTCTTGTCAGGTATTTTGAAGTTTGCCTCTATGTATGTTGTGGATGTTACATTGCATTAATAAATAAAATGAAAGAATGGGTCTTTATCATTGTTGTTGTCACGTGATATACATATATTAATATTCCGATATAAAGGATACTAGTGTATAAGAGTGTCTCTTTTCCTTGGTATTTCATTCATTGACATAAATGCCATTTCTGTCGTAAGTTTAATGATTAGGAATTTACTCCAAAACAAAGTAACTTATATATGACAGTCAATGGACTTGTTCTCTGTAATTGAATCAGTCTTTTATTGTATTGTTCAATGATTAATTTGAACAAACCTGAGAAATTGTCTCCGAGGAGATCTCCGAAACTCGTGTACATTTCATTACAGGTAGATGAAAAGGGTTACCGGTCTGTCACGGATGGCTGGTGAGCAGGTACACAGATGGCTGACACGAGCCGAGAGTAGTGTGTCGGCACGTGGCGCGTGCTATGACGTCGTGGGCAGACGAGCAAATTGTCCGCTAACCATGGCGATAAAATCAAATTCCGTATTACTACTGAAACGATAATACTCTTCAATTGTACTAGGAAAATAGTTAATGGTGATTATTTCTAGTAATTCCTACATTTCAAAATGCAAGATGGATCAAATAAAGTCAGAGCACGAGGTGGATAAATTTATCCGGGAGCCAAATATGACGAATATTTAATGTTTATTTTGAATGCAACTAGCGATGATATATAACAAAAATGTGAAAAAGATAAGTAATTTAAAGTAATTCGTTATTTTCATAATTAGTACTGAAAAATTAGTCATGAATACACAATGACATTGACCTCTTTAAGGAGGGGGGTGTTACTGGAAGTTATTTCAAAATTTAAAAGAATCATTTCTATTAGATGAATATCTCAGATAGGTTACAATAAGATATCAAAAACATTCTGAAAAACCAAGATAAACACCCATGCATCCTCACAGACACCCTTTCACACATAATTAGCATAATATATATATATACTAGTAACTCTCGACTAGACATTAACACACAAAATTAAAAATGATTATAAATATAACTTGCTTTGATCTTAATATATATCTTTCAGTAAATTCATTGCATTGCTAAATCTTATATCATTTTCTCCCCTTTTTGAATTGACAGCTCTATAAAATATGCACCTGCTAGAATTATTCATCTCTTTTGCTATGTCATGACATACAAACCTTTAATATCAATAATCGGTATCATTATTATCACACAATATTAATTTGGATACCGTTGATTGAAATTCTTTTCAAATTTATATACATTCCCCAAAGAAACACCTTACATTTTGTTTATTAAACGCTTTAAGGCATTTGTATTCATTTCAATATTGAAATTTTAAAATATGAAACATCAAAGATGTTCTTTTTGATAACAGACATGGGATTGACATTTGAGAAGTAATTACGGGAATGCAACTTGAATTAAATCGTAAAAGGCAAGAGATAAAAGATGATGAGCACGGGACGATTCACCAAGATGGTTTCAAACCATAGAAATGATTAGAAATCAAAGGGAATAAACAATAGCTTGATAATTAATTCATACATCATAATGCAAATCCTAGAGCCAGAGGTAAGTAGAATTTTAAAGCAATCACATCTAATCGCTAGAGATAGGATTCACATGAATAATAACACAAAACGAATCGATTTCTTTAGTTTTAATGTTTATAAACCATACAACTCTACCATCGATCATGGAAAAAATACTTACAAAATATCCAATACTTACCTAAATTGTGGTAGGTGGTTTATTACATACTAATACTTTGGGCTTTGAAAATCTTTTCCGTTCTTTAAAATTCTTTCATATTTTTATATTTATTTTGGGGGTTTTGTGATATCAATTACTTTACTGACTTTGTCGATTTTGTTTACCATTTAATATAATAAGCCTATGAAAACATTCAACATCCATTGATAAAATTGTTTTATTACAAATAATTCATGGATATACCGGTAAACCAAAATCTGCTTTTTTTCTTTAAATATAAACAAGACTTTTTATCTTAAATTCAGTCAATCAAAATTTCCTATATTGCTGGCCAAGAAAAGAATTGAATGAAAGACATATATTGTATAAATTTTTATATATTAACTTTTTAAAAAAAACTTTTTGACATCTTAGATAATTGCTTAAAAACAGAAGTCAAAGAAACTTTCCAGTACAGTCTTCGTACGAAATATTACTCCGTTAAAAACCACGCTAAAAAGTACTATGAAATCGATATTAAAAGGATGCTGGAGGTACTCATTGATAAAATTTATGTAGTCTTTGGAGATCAAGTTTTCTAACAAACTGTTAGAATTTCGATGGACACTAATCGTGCTACTCTATAGGCTGATATGTTTTTATATTCAAGTGAAGTTGAAGCAGAACTCATTCAAAATTTCTACATGAGAAGAAGAAAAAAGTTGCATTGGTCTTTAATTAGACATTTTAATTGATCGACGTTTTATCAATTAACAAGTTATTTTCAATTGTATTTCGACTTGATGGATCCAAATCCACACAAAAGAGTCTTTCGCCTTTGTTTCATATTCATATTTCAACAAACTTGTTTAAGGATGACGTTTACTCAGGTTTCAGAAAACAGAAAGGAAATTTAAAAAAGTATAATATGTTAAAACAAAAATTGTTCTAGATGGATAAAATAACCAAGTTTTAAAGCAATGTCAATTTAAAAATTTAAATATTATATCCTTTGAAGAAAATAAACAAGAACGAAAGTCAATGTATGATAATTCAGAGGAAATTAGGAATAATTTTTTTAATTTTCATTTCTTTCATTTTTTTTATTTCTTGCAATATTAATTACAATGTAAAGGTTACATGTATTTTTAAACATCATTTTGCAAATATAAGATGTGTTAAGGCTCATAAATTATTTCAAATAATTGAATGCTTTGAAATAAAGAAATTCAACAATATGAACAAAAATAATTCCAGACAACATATCTCAATCATTTGACCATTGGCCCCACATATTATTAATACCATGAGAATTAGGGCAACAAAAGTAATCTGAAGCTATAAATGATTTAGAGTTCTTATCATTTTGATTTTTGTAATATTCGATTAAAAATGGGGAAAATATAAATGTGACAAGGGAAATTCGGACTGTAATAATTATTAAGTTTATGGCCCAAACTCTAATCGTTTCTTTATGAAAAGCAACGCTGTTCCGTTGCTATAATATTTCATTAGAGTTTTGTTGCTTTTAATATTTTGTGAGTAAAGAAAAAATTGGTCATAGTGTGAAAAATTGAGGTAGTTTCCGAGAAATACTCAGAGGCCACTAGCATGAAAAGTAAGTCATTCACCTAGTTATTTGAAATTGAAATTTAACACAAAAATCATAGGTTTACAATGTGAAATAACAGGTAATTTGTTCCTATCAGTGAAATTTTTAGTCATCTGAGTAAACGCATACCTTAAATCAGCATTTCGTAAATTGTATTGTCGCTATAATGACCTTGGTAGTAAATATACGTATTGTAACGTGTAACCTATTGATAGGTCGTATTTGGCTGATTTGTTTTATCTCGCTAATATCTTATTATTTTTTCAATGTATGGAATGTTTTAACGTCGAGACTTAACTTTGAATAATTATAAATATGTGTATTAAAAAGTTATGGCCGACATTAGTCACCTCTGCAGACCGCCAAAGTTTTACTAAGGCGCGCGATTCTAGTTACGGTTTAATGTTTAAGATTGAATTTAAGTCCTTTTTAAGCATGGTCTAGAATTTAAGACCCCTTTATGTCATGGCCCTCAAATCTTTACTCTGGATTATCGGTCCTCTTTGTGTTCTTTTCACAATTTTTTTTGTATTTTTTATTTGATTTTTTTTAGATCTCTTTTGTTATCTATTTCTTTTTCATATCTAAATAATTTAGTGCTTAATGGATAACGCAATACAAACTATACACGTAGAAAAGTCAAGAGATATCCAAAAATAACAATCGTGGCAATATCAACAAAAACTGTTTAAATAATACGTAAAAAAAAAACCACTTAGAATTAATCTTTAACATTATAGAGCAGAACTGAACTATTGTCAAATATTGATGAGCAATATTCTACAGAAGTCATCGCTGTCTGTATTTTGAATTAGCTGTATGTTTCTACTTTAAAATGTAATTGATCAAAAAGTTTGTTATTAAGCCAAACAGTACAAAACCACAATTGTTAAAAAATAATTTGGTACACACATAACCATACACAAGTTCTATAAATAGCATATGCTGAATAAAGTTTTGCTCCTAGTTTGTGACGTCACAATTATCACAATGTTACTTGTGACATTGTCTCTTATTGTAAACAAAAGGACTGCAAAATTTATTGTATATCTTAAAAATCCCTTGGAAGTAGCGTATAATAATTTGTACACAGTTTATAAAGACAAATGACTTCAAATATATTTAATCAACGATTGGATTGGTCGTTTTAGTGAAGGAAGGCAGATGGTTAAAAATGATACTTGTTATATTGCCCAGTGAAAGGAAGTTTAAAAAAAGAAGTGTTTTTAATTAAGCATTTTGCTATCAAAGACGTCCAATTTACACTTTGAAAAAATACTTGAATATTTTAACAATATTATAATTATTAAATACCTGAGATATTGTTTACTTTGGATTTAAAACATATTAGAAATGATAAAAAGGAAGCACCCATTCTCTATCCACCATGAATAAGCGTCTCTTCCGAGACATAAGATTTGGGTTTTGATGGTCGCCAATTTTTGGAAATAACAATTCTGTTGCAATATCCATTTCTGACAAATGAACTGTTCTTGTTATAAAAATTAACTGACATGGAGAGAAATATAAAACTCAGAAAAATCTTTCGGCTTTTGTGACAGAACGCTAGGGAGGGGTCACATGACTGCCCATATCACGTGATTCGCGCATGCGCAGAACGGTGGCAGATGTGCATTAAAATTGGAGAGGACTAATTTAAAATACAATCAACACTTAAACCAAATACTGTTTCATTTATGGGAGTT